TTTACAATTTCCTATTAGTTTGCATGAGTCCCTTGAAGGTGGAAATTACTTAACTTCTGTTTATATCCAGAGCCATACGCTTAGTATTGACACTTCTGAGAATAAAAATCCTTCTTAACATAATTTCCCACCAGGTGTACCTAGTTCCTAGGATATAGTTGTGAGAATTCTTTTATCATTCTCCTCACAATGCCCTACAGAACTCTATAAGAGGAAAGGCTGTGGACATACTTTACTTTTCTAGTTCCTACCTACAATGCCTTGTGATTACATTAAATAATAGAATCAAAGCTTTTGTAACATAGAGTTTGAAAAAATAGGAATAGGAAATTGAATAAGATGGAATTTGAAGCCCAACTTTTCAACTACCTATGAAACTGTAGAAAAGTGATATAACTTCTCTTAATCTAATTTATATTTGTATCTCCATATTGCTGTGCATGCCTATAACATGAGGGTCGTACAAAAGGGATTGGGTTATGACTGATTGCGAGAACTCTTAATTTGCCTATAAAATGCTGTAGATTCAATACTAGCACTGCAAAGCTAACAATCATCATCATCATAAAATTAAAAAATTTAGCTGTGTTTATCATCTAGTAGTAGCAATGAGATGAATCATATAATGTATTAGAATTATGACTGACATATGTAAGTATACCAGAAATATATAATACATGGTGTTATTCTGTGGTATAGGGAACAAATAGTCCTTGATCTTTGAACACTGCATGCCAATGTATACTCTACACATAAACACACACAGAAATACACACACGTGGAGAGAGAAAGAGAAAGAGAGAGATTGAGGGAATGACTTATCATTAATTAGATTCAAATGAATTTCTCTTGACATTGTCAATGTCTGTGGGTACTTTTGGAGTTCATAAAATTGGAGACTGAAGTACAGTACCTTAGCATGCTAAGTACATTGAACTGAAAAACAAGAATGATTGAGAAATAAGTATTTAATAATAATAATAATTAATAATAATCCATACTGTGCACAAAACTAATAAAATATATTGTGTAAATAAAGCTAAAATAAGTAAGAAGAAGAAATTCTTTTACTTTGGGTCAGCAAAGTATAGGCCTACTTTGGCTGTGACTGGTTTTCAATATTCTTGTTCCTAGATTAGGGGGTCTCAAAGGTCCTTGGTCACACTGGAGAAAGAACTGAAGGACACCCACGGAAAACTGAGGACTATGTAAAAGCACACTCTATTGTTCTAATGTCTTGAAAAGAAGAATCCAGGCTTGGTGGCACGTGACTTTATTCCAAGCACTCACAAGGAAGAGGCATTCAGGTATCTATGAGATCAAAATCAGTCTAGTCTACGCAGTGAGATCCAGGCTACCTGGGGCTTATATGGAGATCCTGTCTCAAATAAAACCTTGGATAGCAGGTAAGTTTAAGAATGAGTGACTACCAAAACTATTCTAGTCTAGATTTTGAGAATGCAGTTTTTTTTTTTCCTGGAATTGGGAATAGTTTTATTTCAACTGGGTTCACATGCATATGACACATCCCTGTGACATCAGGCAGAAGAGATTTTGAAACTGGATACCCAGTCTGACAAGGATTATGATGTAACATGAATGAGATTAAAATTTTACTCATACACAATGCTATTCACACATTTATTGGCCCAAATTTAGCTCATGTATCAACAACAGTCAATCAGCATCATTGTTGATTTGTCCCTTGAGGAGGTGTCCCTGATAAGGAGAATATATATATATATATA